GATGTGATGTTAAGTTAGTGAAGAGACAGAGACTTGGGGGGGGGGGGCTTATTCAGCTTGTTCGGTGGACACATTAAGTGCTCTGTTATGGCAACTGCATGAAATGTGTTTCATCATGTTGCTGGCGCTTCCCAGAGAAGTGCTCACACAAGTTTCTATTTATGCTGCAAATAAGTGTCTATTTTAACCTAATGTTTAATGACTTTATTGGCTTTCTTTTCTGTAAATGAAAGCAGTTTTATTCCATTCAATTTCCGTTGGTTTTTAATAGATGGCCACTGATTCCATGGTAACTCACCCTAGCTGTGGCACTGAGCCTCTCAGATGAATACATCAAACACAGCAATATAGCCAATGTTCTCTAAATGTCCCTTCAGAGTAGAGGACACACATTTTATAGGCAGAGCATCATACCAAAAACCTGATTTTCCATGTTTACTGAAAGCAAAAGAAAAGGAAAGGTGAACTTGTTGCAGCATCTGTTTGCAAGTTGCTGTTTCTTGTTGTGCTGACTCACTCTGAAACACAAGACCCTGTCACTGAAAAGTGAAAAGGCTTTTCTGGCAGTCTGCACACTTGTTCTTCTGGTTTGACTCATTTAAACCATCACCATTACCAAACCGTAAAATGTTTCTGAGAAGAGCTGTCCCTCTGCAAAAAGGAACCAGTAAGATGATCAGCAACATGTGTACTTTAAGGTTGAGACAATTATTCATATAACTTTATATCTTAGAGGAAAAACATTCACAGTTTTAACTCTTTTTATTCTCTTAACATTCACTCAGTAGCTATTCAGAGGCGTGAATATGAGGTTATACTTGAAGACATCAGATGCAACACTGCTAGTGCTCAATATTTAGTTGAAACAGTAGGTTTTGGTTACTTCTGGATGAAATACACTTGGGGAAACTAGTTTTCTTAAAGACTGTATATTTTAGAATAGGACATCGTTTTTTTTGTGATATAAATATGTTAAAGTAATGCCTTTTGTTACCATTGTAAGATCAAAAATAGCTACTTTTGTCCAAAAATGTACAATATAAAACATTGATTTCAGCATTTGCCCAAATATTTTGCATGCTGAGTTTCAATTAAACTGTGAATTATTAGTTTGAGTCTCAGACTCGCTCATTAAACCCTTCCCTCCTCATTCTTTAATCTTTCCCTCTTTCTCACCCCCCAGGTGCCTTGTTGCTGGGTGGTTTCCTGTACAGCTGGCAGTTCCCCCACTTCAACGCCCTCAGCTGGAACTTAAGGGAAGACTACTCTCGCGGCGGCTACCGCATGGTGTCCGTCACCCACCCCGGCATGTGCAAGCGGGTGGCCCTGCGCCACAGCGTGGGCCTGATCGGCCTGTCGACCTTAGCGCCCGTGCTGGACGTCACCACCTGGACCTTTCCCGTCATCTCCCTCCCCATCAACCTGTACATCAGCTACCTGGCCTTCCGCTTCTACCGCAAGGGAGACCGCAGCAGCGCCCGCAAGCTGTTCTTCTGCAGCCTGTGGCACCTCCCTATGCTGCTGCTGCTGGCGCTCACTTGTAAGAAGCCTCGCAACGATCAGGATCCAGCTCTACCTCCAGCTCCTTTGGTTTCGTAGAAGCCCCAACACTTCTAAGATCTCTGAGACCCTTACTTTAACGGAGATACTGCGTCAGCGTCTCCCTTTGCTGCTGATTTTGGTGCTCGCTGCAGATCAGGAAACGAGCTGGAAATTATTTGAATCAAAATAGGTGATTTACAGAAAACACACTGAATTATTACACCAGGTTATAATCCTTTCAATATGTGTGTGTGTACTGTATATATTCTGTATTTATTTATATAGGGGCCCACCAGTTCCTCTCCATGTTGTACATGACTGATGTGAAATGATCTTGTATAGTGTAAATTGCTCCTATGGATCCACACAGGCATCACGGTCTGTGGATTACTTATCGCATTGTACAAATGCAAAATAGAAAAAGAGGATATATAATGCACATTAAGACATCATGGTGTCAAAAGATTCAAGTTTTGGTTTGCAGTCAGTATATGAAAATAAGACAAAGATAAACGTATCCCGAAGCAGCTATACGTCACTGCACTCGATTGTTGTTCAACTTTGATTTGAGCCGCTTTACTTGACAGTTTGTACACCTCACTGTATTTTGCCACTGAGCGAACGCACTGATCTTCATTCATTTACAAAATGCTTCTAATTCAGCACGGTTCGCCTGCACCATCACATCAGGTCACCCCTGTAAAAAGACAAGGGCAAATGTTGTTTAACAATAAACATGTCATTATTGTAATTCTGTCTTTTGTGTCATCATTTCCTCATTGGCTGTTTCCATTTAAAACTCAATTTAAAAGTTATAATTTGTGCATGACTGGCTGCGTACCTGAAGTAGAGGCCTCACCCTTATCAGTCACACACACACACAAGCTGGCACCACAGCTCGTTAGGTGGTGGTGCTGACTCAACATGCACATAATATATGGATTTAAGTTTCAATTATAGCCTTAGTGGATATGCTCGCTTTAAGCACAATCACCGTCCCTCCAATAAGCTCTATTTAGCAAGCCACCTCTGCACCTGTCAGTCAACATGTGCTCCCCTTCCGCCCTCTACCCCTAGTTTTGGTATTTGGTTACATTTCCATCACCGTGCTCGGAGAAACAAGCGCCCCCTTCCCGTCGCTGCCATCCTCCCTCCATAAAAGGGGACTGTGGGATTTAGCCAAGGCCGGGAGACCTGAAACGGCTCAACATCCTCGTAAAGTGTCTGACCGGATACAGAGTTTCATATCAGAGGGTGAAAGGGGAGCGATGGAGCCAGCTGTTACAGTTGAGAGAAAAGTTGGAAAAACACACA